TGGAAAGCCCCGTGCCCAGTCCGCCCGCTCTCCTGCGGCAGGTGTCAGCAGCTCTGAGAGAGCCTGAGCCTCCTCTGATGAGATAACTGCAGGGCGAGGGTGCCTCATCAGCCCCCACCCGTGCTAACTGCTGCCTGCGTGTGTGAAGGGTACCAGTGTGGCATTTACTCAGCCGCAGAGATTAGTCATAATCAGTTTAAGGGAGACAGACGTTATTGGGCATATGCTCATATCGTGCATAAAGATGCACAATTCCCCTGGGGTGGGTGGGTAGGGGGGGGGGGGTTCTTCGGGGTTTCACCAGTTTTGGTTTGGGTTTTCTTCCCCCCCCTTCCGGGCCCCCATTAAGAGTTCCTGCCCTGTCTGTCCCGTAAAGCTCACGGCAGTCTAACTGGGGGGATTTCAACTGGGAAAGGGTTTGCGTTGGTAGGGAAAAGAAAAGGGGGGGCTGGCTCGCATCCAGTTCGATGCTGGCGAAAGCAAAAGTGGCTGCCAGCTGACAGCTTGAGACAGCAGCGGAGCAGCAGAAGGATAAAGCTTCTGTTAGTCTCTGTTTCCACACAGTTCTTGGCTGTGAGGTAGGGGAAAACAAAGCATATGCATCTGAGAAGTGCTGCGATGAGGCCCTTAAGTCACGGAGTGACATAGAAGTCTGCAGAAGCAGCTCTGACGCACATGAAGATCGTCCAGATCGCCAGCAGACGCCCCCTACATATCCTTCAATCACACTTATTGAGCTTTTAAAAGCTTAATTTGAAATGTACATAGGCAGTGCTGTGGGAACACACGTCTTTGGCGAGCTAAAAAACGTTCCTCCACCACCAGGCACGAGGAACATCAAAACCTCGGCTCCCGACTCCGCTTTCCTGGGCTCAAATCCAAGTTAGTTCCAGAAATTAGGTCTGCATTGTTAAATTTACTGTAGGAAATTGTAGCCTTTAACAGAAAATCTGGGTAAAATGGCTACAATTTATGAAAATTAGCTCGGGCGATAATTAATAATGTTAGCTGAATGTGAAGATCTTAATTCAGAGCTATTATTTAAAAAGACAGAGCTCATTATGTTGGATAGCAGTGTACCGGTCTGACTTCTCCACATTCCTTGAGCCCAGACTGGCAGATCTCTCACAGTTAACAGGTTTCTCAAAAGGGGCAGTGGTCTAAACTCAAATGAGAGAGAGTCCTTCTGTTGTTTGAAACCTGCCCCTGATGTTTGATATTACTCTTGCCAGGTCTCAGTTTAATGCCAGTGACACTGATCACAGGAAAAGCAGGTTTTCCCAAACTCTACCTGACACATACTGTATGAGATATTGACAGTCTTGACTGCCTTATAATTTATAGGCAGTACTTTCACAGTATTAAGTCTCTTCAGATTCAAGTGCTATTTTTTTTCAGGGAGCAAGTACTCTCAAACATGGCAGAATGGTAGAATGAGTACATGGGTAGAAAATAACAACAGATTAGCACCTCCATAACATTCACTGGTTTTTAAGCAAAATTTGACATGGTGCCAACTTGAGATACATTGGAATTCCACTTTCATCTTTAGCGATGCTATTAAACATGTTCCATCTGTATTTTAAATTACAATTAGACAAACAGCTCTGTGAAAATGCGCAGGTTAGAATATTGCAACCTTTGTCATCTTGAACATTTTATTCTAGAAAGGCTGCTCAGTTGCCTGACCTGTCCCACTAAAAAATAAGTATTTCCTTGTTCCTTCTGTGTTTCTGAAACCCCTGAAAGACCAGGTCATATATCATTTTTACTAAGAATGTCAATGGTGATGTATGTTTATAAAATAAACATTGGCCCTTTGACATTAACAGTCATTTGAATAGTGTGTAAGAGCTTAATTAATCAATATCTCGGGTAAAGTAACAAAAACATGAGGACAGGAGGTCAAAGGTCTGGGGTGGCTGTTTCCTAGTTTGTCACTGCAATTTTTATTCACATTGAAAAGGCACTAATATTGTATAACAAAGATTACTCCTAGGACCTCTTGGACTGAAAAGCCAGCCAGCTAGCACAAAATGCTGTAAAAATATTGGCAATGTTATTTTTTTTGCTGAACGTTTGTTGTTGGGTTGTGCTAAGAACAATATTTTAAGTAGTTTTTTACAGTGTTATTGGAACATTGCAATATCACACATTTAAACCTACTGTAACACTGGAGCCATATCACAAAAAACTTCAATATTGACAAGATGTACATGTTTGTAGAAGGTTTACGTAGGAGTGTTTTACACACACTACAAAGATGTCAGCTAAGTATTTTGTAATATTTTGACAAGCGAATACTGGAGCTACATTGTGCTCATGTTTGTTTGTTTTTTTAAATAAAACAAGTCAGTTTCACAACTAACTTCCAAATACGTTAAAAAAAACTTTTTGTTTCTAAAAGAAGATCTCAGTCTCGACAGATAAAGATGGTGGACTGTACTGTATATCCCCCCCCCCAAAAAAAAAACGGATGATCTGTAATTAAGTATAATTAAATATCATTAGGATCATTTTTGCTTTGTTAAGCTATTTGAGCTTCCAACTGCAACATTCAAAACTCTGAATTCTCCATCCAAAGAAAAGATCAAACAGATTTGTTATGAGCACGTATTACCGTTAAAGCCATAATATTAATTACCTACGCACATCCATTAGCTTGCATTAAAAGAAGTTATCATTTCATTAGCGCTCTAATCTACAAAGAAGTGCGCCACAAAAAAAAAAAGAAAACAAACAAACCAGACACTATTCCCGTTAGCTCAGGTCTAGTCCTATAAAAATGCAATAGCAGGGTTTTCACGGTGGAGGCAAGAGCAATCCTCTGATCTTGTCAAATCTCACCCCGCTCAACTCCAAAGCACCACCTCCACACGCACTGAGTCAACGCTCTGTCAGAAGCGCCGTGTACACTGACTCAGCAGGAGAAACGCTTGCTCTGAAAGCACATGATTCTAGTAAAGAGCATAAGCCACCGTCACTCCGGAAGGCATTCCCCCCTTTTTCCCAGTGACGAAATGTTGCAGTGACAAGTCTCGTTTCCCAAACTGACCTCCCCAATAATTCGTAACGGAGAGAGCAGCAGAGTAGTGCCCTAGACGGGTACATCAGCGGAAATACAGTACAGCATCGGATTTTAGCAACATCAGACTCGCCAGAATAAAATCCACATCACAGATGTGTGTGTGTTTTTTTCCTGCTGTTCTAGGCACAGAACCGAAAAGCCTTTATTTTGGTTTTAACACGCTGGAAAATACCCCGTTGTGAAAGCTCAACGTAGAGACGCGCTGTTCCACCGGATTATGCAGATATAACGTTGTTAGCATTATTTCAGAGCACTCTATGAGGCCATGTTTGTCATGGGAGAGAAAAGCGTTTGATTCAAAGGTTTAAAGCACACGCCCCAATTTTGGGTATAATACCGACAGCCTAAAAAACATGACCGGTTTCGCTTCAGATTTAAACATTGATACGATATAAAATGACCATTTTTGTTGAAAAACGGGAACCTTATAACATCGTTTTATAGCCATAACAAAAAATCACTTAAAAAACAAATTATCCCAAACTGTACTCTGCATCAAGTACACTTGGTGCGCTCTATTGCACCAGTTTAGGTTGAGTTAAGAAGCGCCCCTTCCTCTGGTTTACAATGGTACTGCAAGGTTAAGTAAGTCCACCAGCATGAGACAAATTACCGACTTTTAGTATCGATAGATTAAGGCATTTTTTATTTTATTTTCTAATAAATTTGGTTAAATCTAGCGATGCAGTTACTCACATACCAAAATGTATCCCTGAAAAGATAACCCGTTCGTCGCCGCTGCGATAAGGAAAGGGGGTATTTATTAAATTTCACGGTTTTTTGGGGGGAGCAAAACAACTTCAATTGCAAGATTTCTGGACTACCGACATACAGTATATGCACCCATATTGGTTTCTAAGGTATTCCAGATTTAAGATCTAAGATTTTCCCCAAAGTATTTTAATATTACCGTTTTAACTTTTTACTAGATAGTAAAATTGACAACGAGATCATAAAAAGCCGCTGACTGATTTACTCCAGGACACATTACACGAATACTGTACATAGTAAAAGCCGGTACTATAACCTCTGTGTAGGATACCATGCTGTTGCCTGCCACGACGCCTCTTCGGATAAATTAACTATTTACTGTATTTAAGTGTTTTCCAATACAGTAAGTGCGTTATAAATAAAGCCAATCACAAGCAAAGAGCTACAATGCCCTCATTTCACTTGTTAAAAATTTCACCCATGATCTGCAATACTTGTTCGTTCTGATCAGCAGGATCTGTCTCCCAATCCCGACTTGGAATGCTGGACTGTGTAATGAAGAAACTGGAATAACATTATTGTCCCAATCACTGGATTAAAAATGCAATCTTTCTTGCTGTCATATTTATGTTACATTTACAACTGGAAATGCACAGAGCTAAAGACCTTCATACAGTCTTAAATTAAGCATATTTTTAAACACCGCAGCATTGTATGCAGGTAATATTTTTTTGGCTTTTTTTGACATACTGTATGTGTCATGGGGAAAAGTGTAACTAATAATCTAAACCACCTTGCCTTTTTTTAACAATGTTGTCCATAATACAAAAAAACTATTTTATCTCTTTGCATTTCAAACCATTTTCCCCATAAAGCGTTAAAAGTATTTATAGAAAATTTACTCCACTTTCTGAAAGGGGACTGATCGTTCTTCCCTGCACTATGCAATAACTATTAATTAGCCAAAGATCAACAGTCATTATTCACGTCTTGCAATTTCTCACAACTTAACCTAAGCTACGAAACCGCAGCCGGTCGGGATACTTAAAATAATAACTATTGCATTTTGGTTTTTCAAGAAAATCTGGTACACTAAAATAAAAAAGGGAGAAACGACAGGCATCAAAAATACGAAAGAGAATTGGTTATGGTAAGAAAAACTTGGGTACCAAACAGCATCAAATATTGCACTTCAACTCACCTTGAGCAGCCGTTCCTCGGGTGATGAATACACTTGCTATCAAAGTGGCCACATACCAAATCATAGTACTATTGCCAACCAGAAAGAAACCTCATCATATCTCAAAGTGCCCCTTTCAGTAAATCTTTCATCGCCGAGCCCCCTGGACGGTGTTCGCACAATCTCCCGCTAATACCCTTTTACTCATGCCCTGTGCACTTTTTCCTCTGCGCTTGCCTTCATTCTCGCCCTCCCCTTCTCTCCGTTCGCATCCTCTCTCGTCGAGATAGAGCACCTGCAACCAGCGAGTTCGGAGGCAGCCAGCGCTAAGCTTGCGAACCCGCGGTGAAACCTAACTTGGGCCTTTAGCGGGTGGCTCCGCCCGCGCTCCGCGCTTATTGGTTGGTGTGGGAGGCCTGTGGGCGGGTATTGGCCGCTCCCCCCGTCAGTCGGGCGGCAGCAGCGGGCGAGCCCTGTTCTCAAGGTGAGTTGGAGCGTGCAGTTGTGCGAGCCGCAGTATCATGCGCAATGACAGAGAGCCGAGTTAGCATCTTATCAGGCGTTCCTGTGTCCCTTTTTTTTTGAACAGCCAGGCAGCGTTGGAAGTTGTGTCGAGGGGGGGCATTTAAGCGATGCTTTTCTTGAAACCCACACATCTGCGTGCTTAAGCCTCAGAATTACAAATCTGTTAAGGCACAAGTGTGTTTGAGCAACTTGTTCAGAGCGTAGGTATAGCATAGTTCTTTCTGATAGTTGACTCAAGTTTTAGCCATTATACTGGAAGGCTTAAACATTTAACCCACGGAGATTAGGGTTGCGGCCGGTAATTTTAAAGCTATTTCATGCAATTTGAATGTTAGCAGCGAGATGTTGATATTCACGTATTCTAGATTAAATGATTATCTTCTGTACATTAGTCGGAAATTACAGCCAATTTCGTCGGTTGAAGTTATCTATGAATTCTAAAAGTCACGTGGTTCTTTCTTCTGATTTAACTGTTCCAAATATATATATACACACACATGGCTTTATCTAAAACATTTTTTTTCACCCGAGAAAACTGAAGAAGATAACAGTATTTTAGAAATGTGCGACCATGCACATCTCTGATGTCAATGAGTGGTAACATGTACAGCTCATTTTAGAGTTTTTTTTCCTAAGGATGACAGAGTATGCGAGTCACATTCCGTTTCCTTTACTTTTTCTTATTAAACCAGTTTTCAGCCGCGCAGAGACGGATACACTTCATGTTACAGAGCAGAACGAGTAAGAGCGCAAAGGCGATGGTAACAAAATAACGTCACTAAGCAAGCCTCGGTGGAATGCGAAAACGGTCCTCCAGTCTTTCACTGAAATTCATGACAGTGAATAGCGTCAATGAGATGTAATTCTCCGTTTTTAAAAGCATAATTGTGGCACCAAATTACGATTGTGCGTCCATCCATTTTCTAGCCCTTTATTCCAACTCAAGGTCGTGGCCACCCACCAAATTCACAAGCAGTCCACAATTTACTGTGTTCTTCCCTCAGGACTGTTTAGCGTCCCAAACCCTTGTCTCACCAACAGCTGTCTACTAGAGTAAAAAAACGTTTTCAGCTTTTAGCTTCTGGACAAGGCTCTGATGCACTCTGTTCTCTATATGATGAGGCAATGGGTGATGGGTAGGTGGGAGCAGGCGGCACAGTGGTGAGTGCTGGGGCCACGGGTTCAATTCCAGGCCTGGGGTTCTGTGTGGGGATTGTATGATCCCTCCATGTTCATGAGGGTTTCCCCCACAGTCCAAAGACGTACTAGTAGGTTAATTGGCTTCTGGATAAACTGGCCCAGGTGCGAGTGAGTGTCTATCTGTATTTCTGCCCTGCGATGGACTGTTGTCCTGCCCAGGGTGTATCTTGCCTATCTCCCCTTGCTGGCTCCCCCACAACCCTGATTGGGATGAAGCAATCAGAAGATGGACGGATGGTAGCGCAACTATAGGTCACCTCTGTTCTGGAGGACCTGCAGTCTCTGAAGAATGGTTTATGACTACTTCCTGCAGGCACTCCACCTATTGCTGCCGGGAGTAAAAATGATGTTCACGGAACTTGACCCAGGCTGAGTTTGGGTTCATTTCAGATATTGGTACCGTGTCAAACCCCGGCGAGACCCGATCGACCTTCACGTTCACGTTCAGCTGCGTGTCAACTGTGTGTAGTCAAAGTTTCAGGTTGGGGGGCTCATCTGATTGGTCCTGGTCACCAATGGCACAGAAGCTGCAATGATAGACATCAATATCGGGGCCTCCAGGTGTGTAGGGGGGGCATCCTCAAACACTGAAAAGGCTTTGATGTGTATAAAGGGTTTACCTGCAAATAACACAGATACTGTCCCATGTGGGCATAAATACTAAGCCTTTCGCTTCTCGGCCCTTTCCTAAAAATAAAGGCGCAATGTAAGAGGCAGATGATTTGAATTCGATCATTTTAAAGCCACTTGCCATTCATCCAGCTATCCGTTTTCTGACTGTTTGATTCCACACGGGGTCACAGGGGGGCTGGAGCCTAACCCGCCAAGCAATGGGCACAAGGCAGAACCCACCCTGGGCGGGCCACCAGTCCGCCGCAGGGCACGCACAGACACAGACACGGACTCACACACGCTCGCACCAGGGCCAGTTTTGCCAGAAGCCAATTAAGGGCTTTGGAACATGGAAGAAAACTTGTAGAGATGCAGGGAAAACATACACACTCCACGCAGATAGAATCCCAGGAACTGAACCCAGTGTGCAGCACCAGGAGGCAGCAGTGATAACCATTGTGGAACCATGTAGCCCTTATCTTGACATGATTTCAGACCACTGACGGAAGTACTAGGCTTTGCCGTTTGCAACGTTAGAGTGGCCAGAGTGTATCTAAGTATGTTAAGATGCATGTAGAGTTTTCGCATTAAGCATGCCTCACTTGAAGTGGATTGTTTTTACTTTAAGTCTTAAGATGAAATTCAGATTGTGCTTATTAGTGAAAACCAAAATTTTGCAACATCTAGTGGCGAGAGTTAGTCTTGCCTTATACCAATTATTTATATGACTTTTTTACATTTTAGCCATTGCATGGCTTTAATATTTTCATATTTAAAAAAAAAAACTATAAAAGTAGGTTTGGCCTATCTGTAAGTTTTTGTGTATAATATAAGGATTATTATATAGTGTTTTATGAAAATATTAAGGATGCTTAGCTTGACTCATGAAGAACTTCAACATTCCTCAAGGGAAAATCCAGATTTAACTGCACAAAGCTTGCTGCATTGAGAGAAATTCACTTTAAGTTTAGTTTTTAAGTAATTATTAGTAGGATTAATATGAGTTCATTTGTTGATAAACATTCTATCGTGAGGATAACAGATTGGAAATCTGGCATGTGGTTTGCTGAAAGGCTGAAGCAGTTCCTCTGAATTTAAGCAAATCCAATTGCATTGAGCTTTTCTCATGTTTAATGCTCACGGTGTACAAATAATAGATTATACACAGCCCAGGGGTGTATTTTGTTATCATTAGTCCTGTGCTGATACAAGGTATTCCAAGTTTATGTGTTGAGCATAAAAAAACATCACTTATAAGAGAAACAAATTCACAAAGTTATTATCAGGAAATTGACCGTGTGGTTTGTAGCAGGTGCACTAACATTTTACAGAACAGACATGACATATGTAAATTATACTAATTAACATTGGTCATTAACGAGGTGGACTAAAAAGAGTATATGCTACAAAAGGCACAGATTAGTTGCATGTGTAGCCACCTTCAGGAGAAATACAAGCTGGACATCTGCACCACGTGATTTACACCTAGTTGCAGAAGATGTCCTGTAAGCTTCTGTCCCATTTCTTTCATAGAACCAGCACATGGCTATTCAGATGCAACATGTCAGCCTAGATCATCCCACAAATGTTCAAAGGACTCATGCCTTGCATGTCTTTCTGCACATTTGCGCCACATTTGCTGACACCAGTCAAGGTCTCCTACACAATCTTTCATTCATTGCTAAAGAAGACATGGTTCCACTACTGGCAGACCCATCTAAGGTATTGATCCATCATAACAATGGCATGAAGGCATTGTGCTCCTGATAAACAGGACTTATTGGTTGCTCATTGTATTTGTTTGTGTGATTTTCATCATGCCCGACATTCAAGAGGCCGAGTTATCTCAGGTCCAGGTTCAAATAACCCTCAGGTTTTGAATTTGATGGTGACAAATTTCAGCTTTCTCTCTTTAAATGGCATGATGCGATACTGTGTTCATTATGCTGCGGGAGTAAGTAAGGGGGAAAAAAAAGTGCTAAAAGTAGAAGTCTTAACACCTACAGTGTTGGAGTCTGGTAGCAATGTGCTTGACTTTGCTGGAGAGCATATGACTGCCACGTATTTTCTAATTAAAGAAGAGCTCATTTAAGAGGCAGGTGGAGATATTGGATTCTGTTTAAACTAATGTGGGGGCTGTAATACACAGCTAAGGAAGAGAGGTCATCATTAATTAATAATTTGAATTGGACTCCCAGGCGATTTCAGGCAGTAAAGAAATGAGCTCCGAGCACAGAGTATCCGTACTTACAGCACATTACCACCTCATGTACAGAGAAATAGTGAGGCTTTCAGAATAGGCTTTTGACAGTTCTTCAAAATGTTATGTACTGGAGAAGTGGTAGCATTATTATTTTTATTATTAATTTATATGGCTTTTATCCGAAGTGACTTATATTGCACCCATTTATATAACGGGTCATTTTACTGAAGTAATCAAATTACCTTGCTCAAGGGTGACACAGGAGAGGCCCACCCAGGATATGAAGTCAATGCCATTCCTGTACCAGTCCAGGGCCCTAACCAGTACTATACAATGCTGTAGACCTGACAGAATGATCTCTCTGGGTTTCAATGCAGGTTTCCCTAATGTGTTTCTGGCTCATCAAGTGTTTTGAAATTATACAGCGCTTGCTAATACAGCACTTGGCATGGCCAAGGTTCAGACCTATTTCAGATTTTCCAGTTCATTTGCACAGACCTAGATGATGCTTCTGTATGGTGTACAATATTTCTGTTATTTACAAAATATTTGTCTGCCTTCAAGCTTGAATTCTTTGCTTTTTTGTCCACTGAATTGCACACAGTCAGCTGTGTTTTTTCTCTCCCCTCTTCTGAGGACAGCTTTCTATAATTAACTTGCATAATTAAGCAGAAAATATACTATAGCAGGAATTGACCTGCATATTATATGCAATTGGAAGTCCAGCTCAATCATTTAATTATGGTTTACAAATTAAACTGGGCAAAAGTATAGGCTTTGAGTGAACACGTTTATTGTACTTGACATTATATGTTTCTTATATCCTAATTCCGCCCTACCATGCATAGAAAACAATCTATTTATTTCTTAATCATTTTGTAAGCAATGCCTTATATTAAAAAGAAGCTTCACAATTAAAA